AGTAACGCTACAACAGTATTATTATTATCGAATTATTTCTAAGTTTTGCAAATGTTTGAAAATTTACAAATCAAAGAAAATGAGACACGCCTCTTCTATCTGTGGAAGAAAATGGAAAAAAAATTTAGAGGATATTTTGAGAAAATATTTTTTTATATAAAATATTAATTTATAATATATAAAATATATAGTATAATATATATAATATAAAATATTATAAATTAATATTAATATATAATATATAAATTATTATTTAATACATTTTTTATAAATTGCATTTATTGCAAGCCCAAATAATGCAAAAAATATTTGCTTTTCCAAAAGATTGTACGTGATCTTTTTTAAATGAGCTGATGTTTTGGAAGAGATTGTCTAAAACAAAAATTTCTACCTTCAATTTTGTAGTTTTGAAGTGGCAACATTCTCGCCATTAGCCAAAAATGGAACTAGCACTAGATTTTTTACCTTATCTTGATACATGCAAGGTGAAACAATTGGTGCTGTACTAAATGAGGATCTGGGGTGGGCAGAACACTACATTTTGTTATTTTGTTGTGAAAAAGGCGTGGAAGACATTTCACTTTGTGATCGGAGTGCTTAGAAAAGGAAGTAGAATATCAAGGGAATTAGGATACATATCTCTAGTACGGCCGATATTGGAAAATGCCAGCATATATTGGGACCCATATCGTTTAGGGCAAATAAAATCTCTCTAAAAAGTCCAAAGATATGCCGCAAATTTGTTAGGAGGAGACATTCTAATTCTGAATTTATATCTTGGAAACCATGGAAAACCGCAGAGAGAAATCGCTTCTTTGTGCGTTATTCAAATCAATACGAGGTGATCGACTCTGGGGGGAAGTGCGTGCAAGATTATCACAACCCACATACGTCTCGCGGAAGGTTCATGGTTCTAAAATTCGACAAAGAAAAGAGAGTACCAATGTAAGTAAATTCTCATTTGTAAATAGAACAATACAAAATTGTAATGAATTACCAGCAAGAGTGCTGGAGACTTCACGCAGAATGTCAATTTTTTTAAAATGAGATGAAATAAATTGTATTTTTGAGAATATGTAAACATATATTTTTTAAATTATTATTTTATGTGAGCTTTAGCATGATAGGTTTAATAAACTAATATTGAAAAATTGTATTAAGTAATATGTAAATATTGTGAAGTTCCTTTGATTGGTGTTTGATTTTGTGTTGTGTATTTGTAGTAAGTAGTTAGAAAACGCTACCAACGGAAATGTTCGCAGTATTCCTCTGTAGAAAAATAAATATTCTATTCTATTTTATTCTTTTAAAGAAAATATTGTTTAAAAAGATTTTAAATTCCTACATATCGCGCAAAATTACGCCAAAGTTACTCATATTTTCGAAACATTGAACAACTTATTGCAAGATCTGATTTTAAGGAACAGATTTCATTAAGAAAAAAAAAATATCTTCAATATTGTAGTTGTTAGAAATTCCCCCAAAAAATTGCTTTTGCAATTTTCGCAAAATCTGGAATTTCAAAGAACATGAGACATGTACCATTCTCGTAAGCGTCCTTTACGCCATCGGAGGACGTTTAATAAAAGCAATTTTTAATAACATTTTGAAAATGTTTCCGAGGGTTTATGTAATGTAGACTCGAAAATTAAAATATCCGGTGGAATGTTCCAAAGCCTCAGGATCATTCAGATCGATCGGGGAATATGAATTTTGGGGAAAATCTGCAGAACGGGTTAGGTGCTAACGTTGACCGCAGACGAAGGGACGGACGGACGATCGGACGATCGGACAGACAGACCAATCGACGGACAGAGAGATCGACAGACTCACGTTTTACCGTCAATAGATTTTCGATATCAAGGACCCATAGAACATAAATTCTGGCTACATCACATGTTAGAGACAGTAATTTAATAGACATAGCTACGGGAGTTTTTCTGCCGAAAATTCGCTGATTTCCGGCGAACAATTATATAGCTTTCTCTTCTTATGAAGTAAGGATGAAAAGTAAAAGTATCCTATGCCTACGCAAAAGCCAACAAAGTGATGAGATTTTTGCTCAAAAGTTCAGACTGTTTGATTACTCAGAGTGTGATACGCACCTGATGCAAATCGTCTTCTCAGATATACTGAAAGACGTATAAAGCGGATGTTCATTATCAAATGTAGATGGATCATGTTTTCGCCCATTCAATTTTGAGGTAAATTTGCTCACAGTTTTCAACAACTGAAGGGAAGTGTTCGGCAATTAGTAAGAAACATGGAGTGTTCAATTTTTAAAGATTTTTTTGTAATTTTTATAATTAAAAGGTTATATTTAAAATATATATAAATTACAGTAATTTTTTAGTGTTATGATAGCGGAAAATGTTATAAACCTCAAGTTGTTTTCAGAAGAAAGGGATTGAACGAGAATTGCTTAACGTACTTTTGGTGCAATACTTTAAGAGCCATTACTTCTGAATCCCTAGTTGACGTCCGTTGTCACGCTGAAGCACCAGCGCACTCAATGTTTCACGCATGGCCTTGCTCTTCACGAAATTTCAAGAACCCCACGTGCAAAATTGCGCGGAAGGGGTTTAAAATTAAGCTAGATGTACTTTGTGTGTTTCTATCCTGCATTCCCTTCTTAGAATTTTTAAGCGATCGGATAAGAAAAACTAAAGTGATATCAGAAAATTTGATGTAATCGATTCAGAAGTATTTGGATTTCTCCACTCTAAGAGAAGTTTGGAGAAATAAGATTTTCTAAAGTGGTTTATGAATATTCCAACAATTATCGGTTTATTTGCGAAAATACGCTAATATCGCTTTACAAATCACTGCGAATTGTACAAATAACTTTTAATTTGGATCTCGCTTTACAATGCATTTGTATGTTTGAGTCATCTTCGTTGAAGAAAATGATAATCTATTTATATTTACAATGAAGGCTAATGTATAAGTGAAGAGACCAAACTAATATGCATCCAAGAACACAAATGTTGCTATTCGCGAATTCTATATTTACGTTGTAACTGAATTTTCATTTGGAAAACTACTAGATATCAACATCAACGTCATCAACAACATCAAAGATATATAGGATGTGTATTCTAATGAGGCATGGCAATCTCTATGTTAGATCCTCTATACTACGAGACAGGGAGGCCTGCAGCCACATCCGTCCGTGTACTAAGACATTATTTCTATAAGGAAAGGCATATTCAAAATTTACACACCAACACTGTTTACACATGAGGTTTTTTCCATTCCATAAATGTACTACATGGAATGAATTTGTTTAATCCCTTCAAAACGATGAAGTATCAATTAAAGATATTCTGCTCTGAACACCCTCCATGAATGAGGGTGTTACCAAGAAATATCTGTAAGACGGCCCAACACACCAATCAAATTCGTTACTGAATATAATTATTTGTTTACTATTTTTCCAACCAACTTTCGTCGTTCAGTATAATAAATTATTTTTTGCTAATGATATTAAAAGCTAAAATGGTAATGGCATTTATGAAAGAGTTTAAAAAATCAATAAATGCTTGTGGTCACAGAAATTATGAAATACGATTCGCATCAATAAAATACCGGACGCTCTCCTGGAAAATTGAATTCTAGGAATGAAGAACAGATTCATTAATGTTTCCGTCCGGTGGGGCTAATACCATCCATAAACTGCCCACACGCTTTGTACTCTGGCGGGGACGTAGAATAAGTGGTAGTATTATTTGAAATCAGGAAATGGGTTTTGAGAGCGCAAGTCTTTTTGTCAAAGCAAAAGCTGTGAATGTGTATAAAGGTGCTGTAAATGCAGATTGAAAATGCGCGTAAATATAAAACTAAAACTGCTCGGTGCGATATTATTTCTGAACACGTTAGACGTCCATTTACGTATACCATTACTGCACAACGCGAAATTTCAGCCTGTGTATAAACTCACTCAAATTTCTCGGCCTGCAGGCAAAACACAGCCATTTTTATGAAACAATGTACAAACCGGTGAAATAATATGTCATTTATAGATTACGTTTACTTATGTTATTCGCGAAACGTGCGTCATATATTCATAGATGGTTTGTTTCTGTGTTTATATTTGACATCACATACTACATTACCACATATATTATACACTTTCAATTCCGAATCCGGGTGTGTGTGTAAGTAGCTATACGTAGGAGTTGTTGACGTAAAATTGTAGATTCGATTTCTATTCGTACGTCCATGCAAATTAGTTCTCTATTACTTTGGAGTGTACATTTCTAGTTTAACAACTTTCATTCACACTTGTTACTAGCGTTGTTAATAATGCAACTACCCTGTAAAATAGAGTAGTAGGTATCATGGAAGACAAGAACACGTACGCAGATTACACTTCACCCGCATAAAACAGACATATTTCATTGTTTTTTACTGTATTTACTACCTTTGATATTTTTTGTATTGGCTCGAAAAGAAAATTATTTTAATTCCTACCCATGTTTTCTTAAGCATTCATTTTTCTAGACGCGAAAGAAGAGGGTAGATAGTTCGTCAGCAATATCATAAAATCGAATTTGTCGAATCATAAAATCGAGATTGGAACAGTTTACCTGCTGCAGTTTTCAAAGCTTTTCCTCTCAGTGTCCGAAGTTTTAGAAACAAGTTAGAACAAGATGATAGTAACAGATATTAAATGAATGAGTGCTGTGTAGAGCGGTGAAGTGCTGTGAAGTGCTGGTCAGTGGAATTCCAAGTAAAAAAGTGAAGTGCGGTGAACGCGATCATTATTATTATTATTATTATTATTATTATTATTATTATTATTATTATTATTATTATTATTATTATTATTATCATTAGTATTATTATTCATGTAAGTGTTGTAATTTTTGCAATTATTGTCACTTCACTGCCACCGGGTCATACCCAATTGCAGTTCTAATAAATGTAATGTAATATCAAGTGAGCAGAGGCGTCTTACCTGACACTCGTAGGTGCCGTTGTCGCGCTTCTGCACGTACTTGATCTGCAGCGTCCAGTCGTCGGAGCCCTCTGCGTGCAGCACCTGGAAGCGCTCGTCGTTGGTGTAGGTGAACATCCCGGAGGTGAGGATGTGCCAGTCTCGGCGGCGCACCCACGAGATCTGCAACGAAGCAGACAAGCGTCACCACCACGCGCTGCCAACCGTACACGTCGTGGAACAGCTTCCAACAGCGATATATCGATACATCCACGTTCTCCTATCAAGTACCGGTTCTACCGATACCGATTGATTATTTCACAATAATGTAATAGAAAATTGCATGCATTTTGCTGCACATTCAACCATTTATGAACATGTTCATAATGAGCAATATTACACTTTTCGATACTCCTAAAACCGTTCAATTTACTGCAATTTAAAACACTTCAGAACATATGTTCAGAATGTCTATTGCCACAATTCGAATTTATTTTCCACACATTCATATTCTACCATAAGTATTTGTGGAAAGAGGTATTTAAGTTTTGTGACAATAATTCTGAAAATCCTGACATAAATATCCTGGAATAATAGTATGACAGTAATATATAATAATATATGTATGCTGGTACGGGAGAGATGTGCCAAGCAGGACGAATCCCCATCACCGTATCTAGAATATTTGGCCAGCTTGATCCCTCCTTCCGTCACACATCCCTCTTTTCGTCACATAGAAACTGAGAAAATTGTGTTAGAAAGCTACACATATATTTTTGCCCCTACCGGGAATCAAACCACGATCGTACCACGAAAATACACATAATACTACATTAATAGTTCCAAATTAGAACCGGAGTACCATCTGAAATAATGAGTTACCGATCGTTTCGCTATCGTTCATGATGCTGTCTTTGTTTCAAACATGTAACTATTTTGGCGAATTGTGTTCATACAGGGTTTTGCGTAATGAAAGAGTTAATATTTTATGAGACGGAATAAATGTTAGTTGTTGTACAGTAAAAAGACAATCTCAAATATCTTTACTTTAATTTTCAGCTCAATTGCGAAATATTTAAGGTACACTGTTTTTCACACAATTATTTCATCTACTAAGCTTTTATTTACAAAAACCTTTGATTTGTAAATGACAGGTCCGCAGGTTCGTTGCGCAGTCCATGTTCTCTTGATGGTCGTAACAGGAAATCAAAATTTATTTGCAGAAAATACAATATGAACTTTTAACCTGCAAGTTTCGTGCATTTCCACTGTGTCTGAGGACATGAAAGGGATGTGTAATTTTATTTGCTCCTGGCACTTGTCCTTACGTGATGTGTTATTTGTAGGCTATAATATCGTCTGCCCTCGACGTGTTGAGAGCTGCGAAGTTTTCTGCCTTCGGCGAATGCAACTCAACGCGCTCATCAAGACCAGGCTATGTCAGCCCGTGCGCTCCGCTGCTGGAACGCAAGTGTATCCCTTGCATAGCGACCGCTAAATTGGACGGCGGATTTGGCGGAAACTATAAGTAAAAAAAGAGCGTTTCTTCGTAATATACTAACTAAATTACACAATTAACACTATAACTAAATATTTTTGAAAAATATTTCAAAAAAACACTTTATGCACTAATGGGTTAACGTTAAAAAGAGATTGATTTTTCAGGAGGTTAAATAACGAATTATAATGTCTCTTTGATAAATCTATTAAAAACAAAAATGCTTTATATACGCCTATAAATGTATGCCAATCAAACGAGCAAGATTTTGTAGAGTAAAGGTTGCGTTTCACGATACGGTATGAGACCATGCTCTAGAGAAAAATGAAGTATACGCAGTTTTTTCTGTATAGAAACTGAATAAACGGATTTTTTTCATGGCCTGATTGCGTTCTCTGAGAGTAGCTACTGAGCACCATCATCAGAGGCGTCTTTGGCAGCAAAGCATCGCGCTGTCGATATTGAATGTGTAGTGGGTTTTCGAGGCGCAAATTGAGGTAAGCAAATGAGATTTTTTTATCTCGTCGACGTGGAAAAGAATTTTTCAATCAATGCTACTGTCACCACTGTCGAGATGATTGCAACTGGATTTTAGAAATACGAAAAAAAAACTGTATCCTTTAATTTGAAAACACAAGACCAAATGCGTCTGGAAAGTAAATGATTTTCTTTACAGTGTATTTGGGAATGTATACTAACACAATAACAACGAAAAGATTTGATAGGTTTTTAGAAATGTGAGGGATCACTTTTCACAAGATTACTTTTGTCGACACTGCGTTTTGTCAACACTGCGCATCATTTCAATATCGGTGACTTGCTCAAGAGGGCATATAATTGAGAGTATAATATGGGCACGTAACTTTATAATTTAACTTTTAATAACTTTAACTTTCGTGGAAATGTTTAATTATTTGCATTATGATTGAGAGACATTATTATTGCAATGAAAATAGCATCTCGAGTTATGCAGGTAGACCAAGATAACCCTGAATTAATTTTGTAAATTTTAGGCACGAACTGCAATGCAATTAGTATACCTCTTCGTCCGCCCCGATCGTCAGATATTATAAATTTTTTTCAATAATTCTTGAAGTGTCAATACGTAATCCAGTCGTAAAAGTGTCTCGAATTACATTACTATTTTAAGACATTCAAGAAAAAAGGTACATTTACAGAAGTTGATAAATATCCCAAAATTGCAATGAAATGAAATCTCCAAAAATTGCAAAATGAAATGGGATGTTAGAGATATTTCTGTTAAATTCACGTTTTTACCAGAATAATGATGAATGAATCAAATCCTACAGACGCAACGCGTCTCCTAACTCCTTAAGGAGTGTTGAGCGCACTGTGGAGTAACCCTCCGTTAATTTTATTTCTAGTAATCCTCCGTTAGTAATCATTCAGCATCCTCTAGTGGCCGCTGGGTAGTCAAGTCACGTCTGTCGCAGTCAAGTCAGGGAATCGCCTATAGGTAGCGTCTTCGAGCTCGCGTCTCGCACGCGCCTTGCGTCATCTATCCATCGGTCAGAATTGGGAAGGAATAAGGATAGCGATAAGGGTTAGAACGCTTCACAGTGGTTGGGCCCCTGTGAAGCATGCAAACTCGCTTTGTCGTAGCAAATTTAAAATAGGTTCTCCGAGTATCCTAAGGAATCCAGCCTGGAACGTCAGTGGTGAAAGGAAGGTGACTTCACCACTGAGCATATAAAATGAATAAGAACAAAAGTTCAGACGCAATTATTGATCTTAATATCCGTTCTAGAGATTATTTATATAATGTACTGAGCCTCTGAAAATAAGCAAATTTGAATAAAAGAACACAAAAGAAAATTGACCATTTGTAAGTATCCAGTGAAAATTGTGAAGTCTGGCTACGGTTTGTACCTCTCAGTTAAATCTAATATGCAAAGATTTACAGCAATTTTAAGGGACTTAAATGCGTTTTATTAGGGAGAGAAACAAATTGGAAACAGAGAACACAGAACAAATAAATGTGATTGTCATTATTCCCTCTTAGTTATGGTTTACCGCAGGATACATTTATGTTTTTACTTAATTAGTCCTCACATCGGTATTAAATTTAATTATATACATTTTTCTACCTCCGTGTTCAATGTAGAAAATTGCTATATTATCTGCCAAGTAGCCATTTCTTGAATTTCAAACTTTTTTGTATTTTTTAAAGCATTAAATAATGATTTTAATTTTATACATTAGGAAACTCAATATAACGTTATTAGTAAATTAAATTCTTTTACGCGGATAGAAGGTGTAATACGTCTATCGATACTGAAAAAACTGTCGTCGTACCTTCTGTGTACATGCTGCAACAGAATCGCGAATTCTTGGCAAAGCGTCAGATAGAGAGGAAACTATTTGTGGTAGAGAGAGCGAAACGTCACGTAGAAGACTTTTGAGTCTCGTTAACGAGGAAAAAGCAGGAACAAGGCGCCGTGAAAAGCAAGAGAGAAACGACAGAAGGGTTTTTAACGTGCTACGTCGGTGCTGGGAATTGCGGAGAAATTCCCAAAACATTACAGTGAGACTGTGTGTCACGCCACTCCACAAAATAATCAGTTAATGGTCAAGTTCTCATAGGAGAGTCGTCCCGGCGGTCGTTGCAATGTAATAAAAGACCATGTCAAAACAGGAGGACGCCGAATTAGCGAGCAGGGACGTGATATGGAGCAGGGAGGAAGATCGGTGCAAAGAGTGAGCAGTCATCACAAAGGATGGATCTGAGCGATTGTCTCTGAGCAAGAAAACATTTCTTTGTACCTTTACCGTTTTCTTTTATATTTTTTGTGAAAAACTTGATTAAACGTTCGTTATTGTCTCGACAGAGCACTGCGTGTTTCGTTTCGTCAGAAATAGTGTGTCGAGTTCGTGAGGCGAACCGGCGAAATTCAAGATTGTTATAAGCGCTTGCAATTCATAGAGTATTTATTATACTATAACAAACGATGTGTAAATAAAAGACGAAATCTTGGGAAAATGCAAAAATCACCAACAGCAACGTGAGCGGAAACTGAGATCGTCAGATTGCCGTCTGCCACCCTACCGAATGCAGAACCGGTTGCGTGTAGCGCAGCGAAATTAATGAAGTGTGAAATACCATAACCCATGCATAAGTAAACTATACTGGTTTGTATATTAGTTGCTGGCAAAAATACGATTTCCTTTTTCGAATACTGTTATTTGAGTCTATTAGTATTTTTATTCAACTAATACACATATCACTTTCGTACAAATCGGTAAAAAAATTGGATACGGTTGAATGATCATTGGGAAATCAGCCTAGGAGTCGCTACCATTGATTTGTGATACTTCTATTGTAAGTCTGCTCGGGTATGTAGATTACCATTTGTAATTTGTTTGCAATGCACTGAAAATTCATTAACGTTATGGCAGACGCAGTTTTAAACAAATTAAATCATTTTTCACTATACTGTTGTCTTGTTTGATAGACAAAAATATAAATATCGATTTGTACTGGATGTTTAGTAACATTGCTGTGCTCTTAATAAAAAACGCAATAAAAAACAATTTAGAACAAGTAGGTGTAAGGTATCAGTTAAGAAATGAGTTCTAAAAATCCCGAGAAGTGAATGTACATGCAATGGGAATTAGTAATTATCCTTTCAAATGACTTCTTGTGGTGTGGCTGGTCTATTTGGTC